ACGTACAGTCCCATTCCACGACGTTGGAGAATAAGCTTGGGCGTCTGGTCTGCAGCCTGCATATTCCTACTGCTTCTCTGAGTCTTCGGACTGTGACTGAGGAGATAAACCATGCAGGAGACATTGCATCAGTTAGATAGCGTCTTTATTGCCGGGCTTGTGGATATGAGTGTTAAAACACACTTCAGTAAACTGTAAGGAAATCTGATGTAATAGGGATGAATCGTCAACTCATCTGCAAACTTTTTGTTTTCTTCTAGCTTCAGATGCTATGTTGCATCAGTTGAAAAGGTGAGTAGTGTACAGTCCATTACTTGTTCATAGACATGTAGATTTTCTTTTAGTTTTCTGCTATCAAGAGCTGTATGGAATCAGATGTAAAATACCTTAGTTCAGCATAGAAGTTTCACGTCACTGTAGCTATCTGGAGAAATTACTCTGCTTTTACCTCAGAAGGTAGCCTTCAAGACTTGTAGCTTCTAAGGCATTTGGGACCGACTGGACCTGAACTTGTGTGACTATGGTGTGGTTGTCAACTGTAGATCATAACCTGCTATGAGGAAATTGAAACTACAAAAAACTTGCCTTGCTGAAAAGCATGAGAATCTGGGGCTTGCATAAATCACTACTGTGGGGCATTGATTACACCCTGGAATATATATGCTCAGTTTGTTTCCATGGTGTTTAAATTCATTGAGGATGGATTAAGGTGACCTAAAAAGTAATCTCTTAATTTTTGGGACTGTCTTCTCTACTGGAAGTTTTGGGAGATTATGAGGCTGGCTAGTTTTGGGTACTGCAGCAGAGCAGTGGAAGACAGGAATCCTGAAGCATAAAGGATCTTGACACCTATGAAATAGTCTCCCATAGCTGTGGGGTTGGGGGCCATGATTTAATCTGCATATTATGGCAAGGTGAGAGGGAATGGAATCCCTACAGTACGGTCTTAGCTTTTTGGAAATCATTTGTACTTCCATGTGTGCATTTGTATCAGGATGTGCAGTTATTCTTGAATTCAGCTTGCTACGTTCCCTGTGAAAAATCAACATTAGCCTGATACTACTGATGGGAAGGGGTGGGGGGAAATATGGCACAGGAAGTCCTTCAAAACTGGGAATAGAATCCTGGTCTCTTGATTAGTCATAGGCTTTAACCATGACCCTGTCCTGTCTCTCCCTAACACTGATATTTTGTTTAAAATACCTAGGAAAATCCAATAAAACAAAACCACTGACCCCAAGCTTTATTCTTTCTCCAGGTAAAATGAAGAAGCCGCTGGATAACAGGGTTCACTCTTTCAGGTTCCATATTTGAGTTCTCTTTTGGATCCATTTTCCAACAGGATCCCTGCAGTTCCTCTTCACATTCCTGCCCGGGTCTCCTATTCTTTTGACTGGATAGTATCTTAGTAGTATATTTTATTCCCTTTCGTTGATGTTTAGTTATTCTAATGACTTGGTATGCTAACTCCTAAACACCAGGATGTGATCTAATGGTTAAATTATAGAAGAAAAGTCCGTGAAAAGGTTTAACACGGGTACGCAAAGGAAAAAATGTAGATCTGGTCATATGTTTTGCATGGATAGAAGAGTTCTGGTTTTACTTCTACTCCTTGATAGGCTACCTGGAGACTATACAAAGCACTAACAAATGGAGTAGGGCTGCATTTACTTTGGCAAAAATGGGATTCATAATTCACCACAGGGTGGATTAAAATGATTTATTTATTTATTTTATTTCAATTGTAATTTCTCAATCTGTTAAATGAAATCTGAGTTTAATACAAAATATGTTACGGCCTAAATTTAAAATAATCTCAAACATTTTAATAAATATACTGAATCCATAAGTCTTTATCAAAAGTTTTAAAGGCTGCTTTCCTATGTAAAGAAAGGAACGGGAAAATCTTGTTTCTGACATCAAGCTTTATAGATTGGCACAATCTATAAAGGCACAATAGGTCGTGCACTGTATTAAGGGCTTGTTTTTTAATAAAAATAAAATGTATGTATTGTTTTGTGTGTTTGTTAAAATAATTTCAGTTACCATTTAAAGCAGTTTGACACAAATCTTGAATACTTAAATTAATAAATACGCAATTTATGAATATCACCCACCATTTGCTATACTAAAAATTGACTATAAATTACTAAAAATCTGAAAATATTAAGCTATATAATTGCTTAAATACATGTTTACTTATAGTGTACTGTTCTAGTTAGGGAAAATGATGGACCATATCTGGCGTAAAAGCTTTTCTATTTAGTTTTAAATCAACATATTTTAATGGTTATATCAACTTTCTTTAGAAAATAACTGAAATACAAATGGAAAGATTGATTTTAAACAGGCTTTCCACTGGGTGATTTAAATCATGCTTTAAATTGCCTTGATTTAAATTAGTCCACCCTGCCACAGATACCCCCAGGTGTAGATCTTAGTGGTGGAAATTGATATACAGAGGACTCAAATACCTGTAAAATTTCATCTCACCCTGTTCTGTAACCTGTTCTCACTATATTTTCCACAATTGCTGCTACTTGTGGTGAGTCGCATGTCTTAGTTTTGTCAGTAGACTTAACTCAGGTTTGCCTAGACCAGGATTATTCTGGTGTCCTGTTACAACATGTTGGATAACGCAGTGGTTCTCAACCAGGGGTCTGTACCTCCTGGGCGTTCGTGAGTAGGTTTCAGAGGGGCCACCAAGCAGTGCCAGAGTTACTCACTGGGGTGGGGCTGAAATCAAAGCCTGAGAAACATGGCTTTGTAGGGGCCCTAGGCAATTGCCCTACTTGCTACCCCTTAATACTTGCCCTGGCTTTTTAGTGCAGAAAACCAATTGTTGTGGCACGGCAAATATGTTAAACTGCACTAATTACAGCCTAGGCTTCAGCTTAGTACATTCCTTTTAGGTGTGTGTCAATTCTACAGCGTGGGCCATATTTGTGCAGTTTAATGTACTCCCCCACATCCTACATCATTTGAAAGCTTATATTTAGATGTGGAGCTGTCAAGCGGTGCTGACAGGTGTTGTAGGTGAGGTGAAACAATGGTACCTAAATGAGTGTCATTTTTGAGACAAGGTAGATGAGCTCTTTGTCTTGAAAAGAGGTCTGTGTAGCTCAAAAACTTATCTTTCACTAACAAGTTGGTCCAAGAAAAATTACTTCCTCCACTTTGTTTCAGTATCCTGGGACTAACACAGCTACAACACTTAAATTTTTGCACAGTTCCAGAAACACTTCCAACAGGCCTGACTACGGTTTTTACTGTTCATTGCAACATCTTAGTGTGGTATTTATCAGTCTAATCCACCCAATAACATATTAAGACTTTTATTGGGTTTGCATAGGAGAATATTTTCATCAGGAATGATGACGCTGATTAATATCTAGTGAAATGGTGAATACCTCTGGTTTTTCTATATTTTTCAAATGAAATTGGCTGACCAGATCAGTCCCCCAGTGAAGACTGTGCATCAGTAGTAGATAGATTCTTTTAAGTACAGAAGCAGGAAGCCTGAAGTGCTAAGAGTACTCAAGGAAGACAAGACCATTGCAGAGAAGCTAAATACATTTAGTTGGTTTTCACTGCAGAAGATTTGGGGGGAGATCCCTGCACCCCAGCCATTCCTTTTTAGATAACAGATCTGAGGAATTGTCCTAGATTGAGGAGTCAGTAGGGGAGGGTCACTAAATTCAGCCTTTGTATCACATGACTGGAGGATAGTTAATGTAAAGCCTATTTTTAAAAAATGCTCTAGAGGCGGTGCTGGCAATTACAGGCCAGCAAGCCTAACTTCAGTACCAGGCAGATTGGATGAAAGTGTGATTAAGAACAAATTTGTCAAACATACACACACACACACATGGGGGGAAGTCTCAACAGGACTTTTGTAAAGGGAAATCATGCCTCACCACTCTATTACAATTCTTTGAAGGAGAAAGGTGATCCAATGGATATAGTGTGCTTGGACTTTCAGAAAGCCTTTGACAAGGTCCCTCACCAAAGACTCTTAAGCAAAGTAAGGAGGCATAGCGTAGTTGGAGCTACTATAAGGTGGGTGCATATGGTGGTTGGAAAACTGTTCCCAGAGAGTAGTTCTCAGTCCAGCTGGAATCATAGAATCATAGAATATCAGAGTTGGAAGGGACCTCAAGAGGTCATCTAGTCCAACCCCC